CAAAGAGGTCCCTTTGTCATTCAGTGGAAACTCTGCAAAGTTCTCCAGCATTTGAATGCACTATGATTACATTACTATAAGCAACTTTATAGAAATTATCCCCAAATTATACAGATTATTGTAGTTTATACTTTCAGGGTGTTATTAAATACTAATCCTCTTCCTGAATTTAAGAAACTCATTTTTCACAGGAGATTTTTTTTAATGCAATCTGTATTTTGGTAAGTAAATTTTTTTTAACCAATTTAAATATTTTCCCCAGTTTTATTAAGGCATAACTGAGACATAAAAATTCTATGTATTTATAGAATGTTAGGTCCGGAGCCAAGAGAGAGACAGACAGAGGAAGCCTCGTGTGTAGCAAAATGCTGTTTATTTTGAGCATCTGGGTGCAGATGGGTGGAGGCCAAAAAAGGCGTCCACCCTGAGGAGGGGAGGGGAAAGCCTTGGCTTTTATAGAGAGTTTCTTTAGGGGCAGTGAGTACCTGGGCCAGAACAGCCATTGCAATAAAATTTTTTAAACAACCAATTTCTGGGACCCCTGCGTCTGTCTCATCCTGCAGAGATAAGAGAAGGGGATGGGAATGCCAGCGTCTGCAGCTGTCTGTCAGATTTCACTACCTTGGGGACTCTCCAGATTTCTGCAGCTAGTGTTTTGCAAGCCTAAATTTTCCATCAACCGCATTCTGTCTTATACATACTTTTCGGGTTCCCACCTGGAACAACCCTAACACAGAATACAGTGTAATTGTTTTGATATATGTGTATGCTGTGAGATGATTAAATCAAGCTAATTAACATATCCGTCACCTCACATGTCATTTTTCTTTTGTGGTAAAAACATTTAAGATCTAATTTCTTAGCGAGTTTCAAGTATAAAATATGTTATTATTAACTATAGTCACCATGCTGTACATTAAATCTCCAGAAATTATTCATCCTAACTGACACTTTGTGTCCTTTAGCCAACATCTTCCCCAACTCCCACCCCAACCCCTCAGCCACTGGCCACCCACCATTCTACTCTCTGCTTCTGTTAGTTCAAACTTTTTCGGTTCCGCATACAAGTGAGATCCTGTAGTATCTGTCATTTTGTGCCTGGCTGATTTCACTTAGCATGATAAACCTCCAGGTTTCTCTATGTTGTCATAAATTACAGGATTTCCTTCTTTTTAAGGCTGGAGCACACACTATTGTATACTTATTCCACATCCTCTTCATTCATTCTTCCATTGATGGGTTGATTCCATATCTTGACTATTGTGAATAATTGGTAAGCAAACCTTATTTTAAAAGAAGAGCTAACTACTTAGATCCAAGGTGAATCTTTTCTAGAATTAATGATAATAATATCATATAATATATATACATATATAGTGTATCTACTTATATATATGTATATTGTGTATATATATCCCACTGACTAAAAAAAGAAGCATTACTATCATCCTCAAGCAAGGGCTTTTTCTTTTTCTGTGTGCATATTCCAGAGTAATGCCAGCGTTCGAAGTATAGCCATTCGGCACTTCGGTGAATTACTTAAAGATATGTGTCAGTACACATGGATGCTGAACAGTGTGATTATAGGAGGCTTGGTGCCCCTGATCCTGTTTTTGGAGGATAAAGAGAAAAGAGTAGTTGAAGTAAGTCACTTAATCTTGTTTTTCTTAATTTTATAGAGAATGGCAATGTTTTATTATAACAGTGGATGAATAGATCCTCATTAACCTTTTTCTGTCTCACAGGCATGTAAACATACATTAGAAATCTGCGCCTCACAATTAAAGTGGCCCATATCCTATTTGTTCAAAGACAACAATTACAGTTTTGAGCTGGTGGTGCTCAGCATCTGTAACAATCTTGTAAGTGGCCCTACTATTTTTACTACCATAAGACTTATAGACGAAACTTAAAGGAGATCCAAAGTGATGGAACGTTTGGTGGGAATAAAGGTAGATCTTAGAGAAAGAATGTAAAGGAAAGATCTTAAATGAGTGATTATAACTAGGGCTTGAGATGAGAGGACATTAGAATTTTCCACTTCCTCTTCCTCGCGTTAATCATTCATCTTACCTTCTTCCTCCAAACCACCTACTTTGAGCTATGAATGGGTACGAAGGTAGAAAGAGCATTCCAGATCACCAAAAAGAACATTGAAACTGCTTTGCCATTGCCTTGTGATCTGGTCCTCTGAACCCCAGCGTGAACTGCAATAATACACAAGTGGGGAGGGGAGAATGCTAGCCAAAGGATGGAAACACAAAGTTGGATCGGAAAATCATATCATAGGCCGGTCCGATGGTAGTGGGTTGTCAGAACTTATTAACATTAGTGTCACTAAAGTTGGTATTCAACTCCCCATTGCTAAATTTGACTGGCTTTAAAAAAAAAACAAAACGAAAATCATATCATAAATGGAATAATACCTGCAAGCAAAAGAATACAGTTCACACGTAAAAATCCCCAACTTTTAAATTGGTCCTGATTTGGTATAAACAACCAAGTTCTTTTCTCTTGAATCCTTTCTGGAAGAAGCAATTATTGTGCTTTTTCAATAATTGAGAGAAGGTTTTTTTTTTCCTTTTTATTCTCAGCTTACTACTCATAGGAACCATATTACAGATTTGATATCTGATTCTTTAGGATTCCTGGGGAGCTCCCGAGCAAATCTGAGGAGAGCATCAACTGTTTTAATAGGTAAGTAAAATTCAATTCTTACATCCTAATTTGTCTTAAAAGGTATAGAATAGGGAAGCCCCTGGAAGTCTTCCTTAAAATGTTATAAATTTCCTTTGTTTATGATGGACAGCACCTGTCATGATGATAGCTATGATAAATAGAGGTTAATCCATGTGATGAGAGTAGGGTTCTATTTTATAACATACAAAGTGAATATAGCTGTATGATTAAATTGTATAGTGTGTTCGACAGGATGGATTTCAAAAATAAGTACTTTAAAAAAGGGAACAGCATTATCTTTCTGCAGAAGTACCGCAAGGAGAAAAAGAGAGGAAAGATGGAAGAAAAACAAATTTTAGACAATGTTTCTATAAAGCAGCTGAACATCAGGGTAAACATTTCTGTGAATCCAAAAGTTTTTGAAATGAAGATCTGAAGTAGAGACACAAACACACAGGGAATATATGATGGGATATTGGGAGCACATGAAAAATAAGCTTTCAAAGTATAGAGGGAAAATGTAAGAAAAAATATATAACTATCACTATTTATAGCCAGCAAAAGAGAAAATATATATTGTTGATAACCAATAAGGGACAAGAAGTACAAGGGTTGAGAAATAATAGCAAAATAAATGAAAACCAGCAAGGAAAAGTTTTTAAAATAAGCAGTATGGAGTTATCTCAAAGAATTAAAAGTAGACCTACCATTTGATCCAGCAATCCCACTATTGGGCATTTACCCAAAGGAAAAAAGTCATTTTATAAAAAAGACACTTGCACTAGAATGTTTATTGCACTACAATTCACAATCACAAAGATGTGGAAACAGCCCAAGTGCTCATCACTACAGGAGTGGATTAATAAAATGTAGTATTTGTATACCATGGAGTACTACTCAGCCACAAAAAACAACAGTGATCTAGCACCTCTTGTACTATCCTGGATAGAGCTGGAGACCATTCTCCTAAGTGAAGTGTCACAAGAATGGAAAAACAAGCACCGCATGTATTCACCATCAAATTGGTATTAATTGATCGACACTTATGCGCACATATGGTAGTAACATTCACTGGGTGTTGGGCAGGTGGGGGGAGGAGGGGATGGGTATATTCACACCTAATGGGTGCAGTGCACACCATCTGGAGGATGGACACACTTGTAGCTCTGACTCAGGCAGGGCAAAGTCAATATATGTAACCTAAACATTTGTACCTCCATAATATTATGAAATAAAAAATGTATACATTAAAAAATAAATAAACTGGAACTAATCAGTCAACACTTCTATATGCACATATGGAAGTAAAACTCAACAGAAACCAAGCAGGTGGGAAGGGGAGGAGAGGTTGGGTATATTCATACCTAACAGGTACAATGCACACTATCTGGGTAACGGGCATACTTATAACATTTGACTCACACTGTACAAAAGCAATACATGTAACCAAAATGTGTGTACCCCCATAATATTCTGAAAAATA